ATTTATGTACATCACAAAGACTGGATTATTAAATAACTCTAGTTATAATCTACCTTAAACTAAAACCATAACCTAAACATAATAATTGAGACACGTCAGTAGGCTAACTATTATTTTCTTTACTACTGAATATGGCATTTAATTATTAATATTGTTTTCATTGGGAGGATTTTTGACCCCTTTACTTAACTATGCAGATTATAATATTCGAATGTTTGCAAAAATAAAACAACACTGTCATACATAAAAAGAAAAAGCAATAAAGCTAAAGTGGTCGTGTTTTTAAATTACAACTTTTGACTTGGATTAGTCCAAGTAGACTTCTCACACAAACTTAAAATGTGAAGCCGTTATTTATTAGTTGCATATTGGTTACGCTATATACTTCTACATTACTTAAAACTAGGTTAGGTTAGGCTATGGGCAAGGTAGGGGCTATAGGCAAAGTGACGTTAGGCTAAGTTAGGTCAGTTTAGGTGAGTCGTCCTAACCTAACCTGGATTACAATCATCACAGGGCAAATTTTAAGAGTGACGGCTCTCTCCTTAAAAACTATCTATATACTTCTACATTACCTATAACTAGGGTGTAATTAGACTAGTTTCCACTCGGTATCGCTGTTATGACTGCCAACTAGGCTTGGCACGCTAGTCACTTCACTTTCCTCAGCGCACATAAGTTGACCAGTCCCCAAGTGACCTGTGACCTCTGGCCTCGGAGGTCACCAGTGATAACTTGGCACCTTCTGTGACGCCGGTCGCTAACTGTGCATTACCACACGTTACTGTGGAGTAAGTTAACGATTTGTCGTTGAAATGCTTCGACCACATACACAGGTAGGCTATAGTTTGTGGCGTTGTACACAAAAACACAACCATAACTTAAAAATACTTTTCGGGTTAATGAGGAAGTAAAAATGTAATCGCTGCCACTTGTAAAATGCTCACTAGTTGTGCACATTTATGAAATTAATGCATTTGTTGAGTTTAAACGTGGGATATCTGATTTAACTTACATACAGGTACCAGTATATGTTTATCAACTCTACCGTTCCGAAGAGGAAAACATCGCACATTTAACGTTTAAATTAAGGTGGGCGAAATATCTGTCTGTTTCCTCGTTTCCGCTTTGGTAACCATCCACCACAGATCTACGTGTTGGTTGTAATCAGCGCACATCGCATAGTGTCTTGTCACCTCCGTTATTTCGCCCAGTCTAAATGTTCAGAACCATGACACTGAATAATTATCGTTTATGAGAAGACCGCAACGCTGATCTAGATGTTCGTGAGAGACATTGTACAATTAAATCTACTTCTGAATGAACTAGGGTGTTGATCAAGATGACATATTTAGTTTGTGCTATCCTTTCCCTACAAGACGATTCTATACTCTTAGCGTTTACCACTGGATCGTGGTGTTGGTACAAAGCTAAGGGTTTTTATCTTGTTATTTGCGATTGACAGGATGTGTAATTAAACGTTCTTAACTAAATTATTGTAAATAACCCACTATTCATGTTGTAAATAATATAACTCAGTAAATGCTAAATAACTAAAAACAGAGACACCAGTTATACACCAGAATTTTATAATCCTAAGGCCCTTAAAGTTACCAATACTTAAATCTGTGTAATTTAAAGTTAATTTTTTAACTACTCTTAATAAAAATACTGTGAGGAAGTACTCTTAGTATTTTCATTCAAAATGATATACTAGAAAACTTTAGAAAAATGTGGTTTGGGAAATGTACAAAAGAAAATTAATTAAAAAGATAAAATCACTTCCTTGCACTATATGGTATCCCGCAAGGTTATATGCCTTACTTTGACCTTTTTACATAATTTCAATGAGTTCTGGTCATATATTGTATGAGTGAATACTGTTTTGAATGATCTATAGGCTATCATGTTCTTTTAAAGAAAATTGCCACAACAATATAAGAAGTTGCCCTACGCATGGGTTGGATTAGGTCAGTTTAGGTTAGGTTAGGCTAAGTTAGGTTAGGCCAAGTGAATGAACGAACGAATGAATGAAATAATATGTTTATTTCCTACGGTTACCTAACAATGTACATGTTCTCTCACTGATTTGAGAAAGCAATGTGGCCAATTCGCTCATCAGTGAGACAATGTTAACATTGTCTCACTCTAATTACTTTGTCTCACTCCAGATTTGCAACGTGAAGCCACGAAATAGTGAGTGCGTAATGCAGACAAGGTCGTATGCGCGCGAAATACGTTGGCAGCATTGGCTGTAAATCAGCTGGTCAGCTGTTGTACTGTTGTATTTGTCACTTCACATTAAATGTTATATTAAAAGTTCACTTCTGTGTAAAAATATGTTACGTTTCTTCACCAATTTATTTGTTTTATGGTAACTGTAGGAAAAATATAATGTGCAACTCGAGTGCAAAGTACAATTGCCTCACTCGAGAAACCATTCCTCACTCGCCTACGGCTCGTGAGTAAGTATTTCTCTCGAGTGAGTCAATTGCTAACTTTGCTCACTAGTTGCACAAATAACTATTTTCCACATAATATACAGAATACAAAATACATACTTCTTAACGTTACAATTACAAAATATAAACTAAAACTAAAATAAAAAGAAAAATTTCTGTACTAACATAATTGATTTTTTTAGAAAATCAGCAGACATAGCCAAGTGCTGCCTGTGCGTCCGCTGGGTTGCTATTAAAAAAAAAAAAATAGTAAAGGAAATCATAATAGAAACATTTGAAAAATTAAATAATTGTTGCTTAAAAAAATATTAGTTCAGGGATTACGAATAATTGAATGCATTAAAAATATAATAACAAAATGAAATGCAGTTTTAATCACGTTGGGACAACGGTTCCTTTAACGGTTTTAAGTTGGGTTAGGTTGGGTAAGGTTAGGCTAGGTTAGGTTAGGTTACGCTAAGTTGGGTCAGGTTAGGCTAGGCTATAGGTAAAGTGGCGTTAGGCTAAGTTAGGTTAGGTTAGGTTAGTCGTCCTAACCTAACCCAACCTAACATCATATGGCAAATTTTAAGAGTGATGGCTCTCTCCTCAAAAACACCCGCTATCTAAATAATCGGTACATTATTTCACAATCGTAGACCTGTTCCTGTACAAAAATAAAAAGAATTACTATTTTCAAACAGCGACATAAAATCCTAAATAATATGTAATGAGGTCTATTGAGATCTCAACCAAACAAGTTTAATGACCACAGACCGTGATGTAGAGATGTTGGGATGCGACGAAGAGTAACTAATCCAATTACCCCGCAGGACGAGTGTGAAAGTGGTTTGTGTCGAGGCTAGCAGTGGTCGAGGGCAGATCACATTTCCGGTTTGTGAAAGTGACCAGGTCATGGGTTACTGGAGAAACCACGTGAAACGTGGTACATACCAATGATATACAAACCAAGTGGCGCCCACATTCTCGGGGAAATTTCGTTTTGTTATGTTGTGTAAACCTGTTTGACCTCTGGTTATTTAATGTAGCTGTTTAAAGCATCCTTGTTAGGTTCCGTTTTCGTGTAGGCCTACGGCATGTCAATAAAGTTTGCGTTTCCAAGACGTTGTAATTATTTATGTGTATAATTTTAAATACGTTATAACCTATTAAACGTCAAACGTACGGATTTAAACGTTAAATTTCGAAATTTCTTTTAGTAAAGGTTTAAACCAAATCAATTTCAAGTATATTAAGTGTTAAACATAGACAATGTTTATAAAAATAATCTTCCTTTCTATAGTGAAATTTTTGTCGTTTCTTTAACCTAAATTTTAAGATTTGCAAATTTCCAATATTATTATAGGTAACACTTTTGATCATCAAAATGAACAGTGATGGAGGTTTAAGTTACCGTAAGTTACCTACGTTGCATTCAGATTGGCCCGTTGTATTTATTATTTGTATCTACAGCCGTTTAAAAACCACATACAGTTGTGCTCAGAATAAAACAAATACCCCGCCGCAGCAAACCTGCCGACTAAGCGAATTTCCATTTGTCTGAATTGATTTTCAGTTAAATATATTAAAATAACATAAGGTTTAACGAGTACCTAGGTTTGCTGCTACAAGGAAAGTAATAAAGTGTGTTTTTGAGAAAAATATTGATAGCTTAGTACAAAATAAATAAATTTGCCAAGTTTGATCAAAATATATCCATAAACAAGCAAACTACAACATTTGACAATAGTCTCCATAAGAATAACATGGGAATTTTAAATTTACAATTTTTTTAATTTTCTCCGTTACTAATAATCGAACAAAAATACTTTTATATACTAAATTATTTGTTTTTTTAAGCTCTTTAAAAAGGTCTAAAGAGAAATCGGGAAATTTTGTGTTTTGAGGGTCAAAAGTGAGAAAAACCAATTTTTACCCCATAAAACCCCCCGTAAAGCCCTGTTCCCATGGTCCGATCGTGCTGGTTCGCGAACTCATTCAAGTTTATCCCGCTTTACACCTTTAAACCAAATTTCATCAAAATCGGACAAAAATTACTCAAGTTATCGCGTTCACGGACGTATATATATATATAAGTCTATATATATATATATATATATATATATATATATATATATATACATATATAAAAATTTGAACGAATGGTGTTTTTGGCCTCTGGGGACATCAAAATGAAAAAGTAAATCGGTCCCGGGTCTAGGTCTTACCGTGCCACCTACGGTAATAGCTACTTCCCTATAGGGAAATTCGCTAAAAAAGTATCTAGCATATTTACATATCTAGCTGTTATTACTTTTACATTTTGCTCAACAATGTGTAATATCATTGACTATTAGATACTGGATAGTCAAAGATAGGTGGTAGAAGATGGATAATTACCATGTTATTCCATTATTCCATAGAGTCATGATTCCACAACAAATCGCTAACAGTGACACAGATTATTCAAACATGTAATTTCCTTAATCCTAGAACAATATTTCAATGTAACCCTCTAGCAGTTTATGGCTTGGTTACTAATACATTTTTCATTTTCAGATGCACAAAGAAGAAGTTTCGTGACGATCTTCCAGCTACTAGCGTCATCATCACCTTCCACAACGAAGCTCGGTCCACTCTGCTACGTACTGTTGTCAGGTATATCTACCTTTACTTTATTATCTGTTGTGTAGGGAAGTATGAGTAACATAGAGAGCACTTTAGATGTTGCGGCAATGGTGACTAGTAGTGCCGCTAGAGAGTGAAGTGGGGTGCTGAAACTATACATTGTTCCGAAATAGCTTAGCTCCGAAAAAAGCAAAGCTAGTGCACATTTCCGAAAAATTGCATTTCCAGGCAATCATCCGTGCACTAATAAAGGCACGAAAATCCACTCACAAATTAAGAGTTTTTTCAGGCACTAATCCGAAAAGAATGTGTTTGTCCAGGCATAACTCCGAAAAGCGTTTAAACCAGGTTCGAATCCAAAAAAGCATGTGTTTGTCCTGGAACTGTTAGGAAAGAAAGTGCAACTCCCGAGTGCAGCGCTAGTGTTTGATGCTCTAACCTTTCATTGTAAAGATATATGACCCAACCGAATTTTTCCTTTTCAAAAACAAATAAAATACCCTTGAGCCTTTGAGGTAACGTAAGTAACCTACTCGTATATTCAAAGTAGAGACATAAAACTAAATTTAAGCTGGAAGACCCTACTTCCAAAAAGAGGAATGGGGTTGCTAACTTTATCTTTGCTTGTTCCCTACACTAGGTGTTTACTGCAAGATTTCGGTAAAGTAAAATAACTAAAATGGGATTCTACGCTATTAAACTAGTTGGTGTGTTCCGTATACCATGGACAATCCTTTACAATAACAATTTTGAGGCATGCCGATGTTGTCAAATATTCGCCACGCCTCCGACAATTCATGGAGCAATTCTTGGATTTGTATCTCAAAAACTAAAGATTGTTTATGCTAGTTAAAAACACACCGCAGTCATTTAGCATAACCCCCTAACACTTAAATGCCATGTTTACAAAATTAATACCCAAACGACACCTCTGAACACGAACAAAGATTCCATGCTATAACATCGATTGTGTACTTTAGGTATGTGTTGTTATTTATATTAAAGTACTGTAAACATTATATAACCACAAAGGCTTCTCAGATTTGATTGACATAAAAATATACAAGTACAGTATAAAACATAAGTAATGCTACTGTACTTACTGCACAAAACTTAACAGGTAAAATCAGTTATTAAATATATAGGCTACTTATAATTGTTTGTATTCTTAACATAAAATATATATAATAACATTCCTAATACAGCCTTTAAAGTTTCAAATGAGAAAGCTTCAGGTACCAAAATATCTATAGAAGAAGTAAATTTTTCATTAATATAAGCAATAAAAACCCAAAATTCACAAAAGGAATGTCTGTTGTGATTAAATCCCAGACTCTTGAGGCCAACTATTTTTTACAAACATGAACAATTGTTTTTCCTCTATTTCCCAGGGGCAGAAGTTTGGGCCGCAATGCAATAGCTCTCCAGTTTTCTGTACAAAGCACTGTAAACATAAGAGCCCTCGTTTTCTTTTTCAGTACATATTGTGTTACGTAATATTTTTGGTAGTAAATACATTATCTCTAAATACTAAAACAAAACAAAGATATCTAAGTGATGAGAAGCGAAACAATGAATATTTTTATAATAAATGACTGGAAATTATGGTGTTTTAAAGTGAATAAACGGTATCAGCAATCTGACACATACTTTTCCCATAAGCTTGTCAACAACCTTTAGCATGGGTGGTGGGAGTAACTTTGCTATTTTATACCTATACTTGGGAAAATCACAAAAGTTGCAATAACCTTAGAACCGTAATTGTTACAGCAACGGGGGTAGCACTATTTTGTTTAGAACTATAAGGACTATAACACATTAATTTTAATCAAAACCGGCTTTTTCCTGCTTTTTGTTATTTTGTTATTTTGTGGGGTTTTTATGGGAAAATAACATAAGTTGCAATAACTTTTGAACCGTAATTTTTGTGGAAATGGGATTTGTGCCCTTTTGTTTAGAATTTTAAGGACTATAACTTACTAAATTTTTACTAAAATTGTTCGGGCCATTTTTGAGAAAATCCAATTTTCCCGTTATTCTATGTGTGTTATGGGAAAATCAAAATTTAATAATCAAAATTTCGGAAAAATGAAAAAACCTGAGGTTACCATGGATTAGTACCTTTATACCAAATTTGATCAAAATCGGACTACAGGTTTGGTTTGTAGCTCTGTACAAAGGCATCACTTCGAAAACCACTTTTTTGTGTTCAGGGGGACACAAAACGGATCCAGTCAAAACTCAAACTCAAAAATTTTGACGAAAACAATACTTTACATACATTAGCAAAATATTTAAAATATATAAAATGGTGTATGTTTAATCTGATAACCTCTTTTGGGACCGAATATCCTTCTACAAACTAATACCATCTTCAAAAATGTTATTAGGTTGGCTATAGTAAAGGGTACAATTTCATCATAACGTTTTACATGTTTTAAGTAGTGTTGGCATTGGTGTACTTTGTTAAAACTGAAAAATCAAGTAGCTGATACTAGTATATTTATAAGATAATGGTCATACGAATTTATTTATTTTGTTCATTTGATTAATTTATGTATTTTATATATTTTTTTTTTATTTAGTTTATATGAAACTAATCTCTTTTCAGAACTAGGATACAAATTGTGCACACTGCAATTAATTATGCACGACTTTTGGTTACAGTTTTACCAAGTAATTAAAATATTCATAGTTTAAAATACACTTGATTATGAAATTTTAGTTTTACTTAACATGATTGTGTCATATCCATTGTCATAACAGAATCCCACAGTTTTATCTTCTCATAGTTGGTTCTAATCTCTATGGACAATTTTTTTTAAATCCAGCATTTATTCCTCTGAAAACTGCTTCTGAGGAAACTGCTACTGTGGTAACTGCTACTGTGGAAACTGCTACTGTGATAACTGCTACCCTGAAAACTGCTACTCTGGAAACTGCTACTTTTGGAAACATCTACTGTGAAATAAACTGCTAATTTTGGAAACTGATACTGTGGAAACTGCTACTGTGAAAACTGCTACTTTTGGAAACTGATACTGTGGAAACTGCTACTGTCGCTTAACGATTCAACGCTACAACGCAGTTCAGTTTACATAATTTTGTATGTAGTTTCAACAGCGGCATTTGTCTATGAGCGGCGCTTGCGATGCAATATTCAGTACGGTTGTGTCAGACAAATAGCATACCCTAACATAGCGAGCGTTTCATTCACGTTGCTTTTATCCACGTTCTTATTTTTACGGATTAAACACAATGTTTTGCAAGGTTGTATGAATAAGTAGGCCTTTAGCTTAAGTCATTTACCATATTTTTTGCATTTTAGCGAATTTCCTTTTATGGAAGTAGCTATTACCGTAGGTGGCATGGTAAGACCTTGGCCCAGGACCGATTTACTTTTTCGTTTTGAGGTCCCCAGAGGCCAAAAACACCCTCCGTTCAAACTCATATATATATATATATATATATATATATAGGGTGTTTTTTTAAAAACTTTCATCTTTATTTATGTAAAAACCGCAATAGATAGAAATATGCAGTTTGCGGGAATCATCTATTGACGTAGGGGGCCCAATTGTTTTGAATTCAACGTTACATTCACATTCCCCCCCTTTCCCCCCCCTGCCCCCAACTTAATGTTTTTAAACAGCAAGGTACCCCTTGTGACATATCAAATAAAAGAGCATAAAAAAAGAAAATATTTGATGAAATAAAATTGAAAATCGGTTCATAAATGTGAGAGATATTCCCCCCCCGGAACTTATTTTTTTTAATAGCAAGGTACTCCTTGTGACATATCAAATGAAAGAGCATTGCAAAAGAAAATGTTTCGTGAAATTTATTTTTCATTTGATATGTCACAAGGGCGGGTACCTTGCTATTAAAAAACAAGTTATGGGTAAGGGGGATGGATTATCTCACAAATTCATGAGCCTATTTTAATTTTTTTTCACCAAACATTTTCTTTTTTCATGCTCTTTCATTTGATATGTCACAAGGGGTACCTTGCTATTAAAAAAAATTAAGTTCCGGTGGGGGGAGGGGGGAATATCTCTCACATTTATGAACAGATTTTCAATTTTTGATTAAACATTAATAAACTTAGTACCCAAGTAAAATTATTTATTAAAATTAAAATTACTTGGGTACTAAGTTTATTAATGTTTAATCTTTATTTATATATAGTAGCCCTATTTTTCTATTTTTCATATATATATATATATATCAAAATCTGATCATTTTTGCTTGAGTTATCGCGCTAACGGACACATATATTAAATAATATATATATACAGGGTGTTTTTTTTTAAACTTGCATCTTTATTGATGTAAAAACCGCAATAGACAGAAATATGCAGTTTGCGGGAATCATCTATTGACGTAGGGGGCACAATTTTTTTTAATTCAACGTTACATTCACATTCCCCCCCTTTTCCCCCCTGCCCCCAACTTATTTTTTTAAAATAGCAAGGTACTCCTTGTGACATATCAAATGAAAGAGCATTGCAAAAGAAAATGTTTCGTGAAATTTATTTTTCATTTGATATGTCACAAGGGCGGGTACCTTGCTATTAAAAAACAAGTTATGGGTAAGGGGGGGGGGATTATCTCACAAATTCATAAGCCGATTTTAATTTTTTTTCACCAAACATTTTCTTTTTTCATGCTCTTTCATTTGACATGTCACAAGGGGTACCTTGCTATTAAAAAAAATTAAGTTCCGGTGGGGGGAGGGGGGAATATCTCTCACATTTATGAACCGATTTTCAATTTTTTTTCATCAAACATTTTTTTATGCTCTTTTATTTGATATGTCACAAGGGGTACCTTGCTATTTAAAAAAAATAAGTTGGGGGCAGGGGGGAAAAGGGGGGGAATGTGAATGTAACGTTGAATTCAAAAAAATTCGACGTATAGGTAAAAATACGTACTTAGGTAAAGGTTTATGATGAAGCAATAACAAAACCTGTATTAAAAAGAGTTATTTCTTGCTTTTAGACGAATTTGTGTCTTGATTCATAAAATTTTTTGGTCTCCGAACTATCGGATGATTGTATTTTGGTGCTAGGATTTGACCTTTCCAATTGATTAGACACGTATAATTTTCATGCTGATTTTCTATTCTTATTTTCAGTGTTCTCAACAGAAGTCCGGAGCATTTGCTGAAAGAGATCATTTTGGTGGATGACTTTAGCGATCATCGTAAGTACTTAAACCTCAACTCAAACGTTTTTGTCGAACTTAAACAAAAATATATTCATGGTTTTCCTACGGGTTTATTTACTCCTTATAGGTTTAAATGACCGTAATCTAATTCTTTTGCATACAAGAAATACAAAACTAAATATTATAATATTGTCAAACATCTGACCAGTGTATCTTAGGTGAACTATTTTAAGAGTCAATTTTGCAATCTATGTATTAATAGGCAAGCATGTTTCTTTAAAACCTTTTTTCTCAGCTTGTGTGTATCGCAGGGAAAATTTACGCATATTGTTGGAAAGATATTTTCCTGTAAATGTGCAGAATCCCTTCATAAATTCAAAAATAAGCACAAAAATAAATTTTAATTAAAATGAATAACATGGACCTTATTGGGCCTTATGGGCTGATGACGAAATAACAACGCAATATAAACAGAAAATCACATGAATATAGGCTAAGGAATTCCAATCACATGTTTTATTTACAGCGTAGGGTGAAAATAGAGAAGTCTGTACATTACATATTTTTTGTCGAGTTTTCGACCATTAGTTTAAATTACTATGGCTTTGGATATGTGCGTACATTATTCAGACATTTACTACAACAGTAATACCCGTTAAAAATTATATAATGTACAATAAAAATAACAATTAGTAATAATCTATGATTAACACAAACTTTATAAATGCACATGTATGGAAACTTTGCACTTACTGCCACTGTTCCAAAAAACAACAATTTTACAACTTATTCCTGTTTCTTGTTTACGCTTTGTTTAAGTTTCAACATTCACATTTCCTGTTACATTTTCAGCGTCCGACGGTGAAGAACTGGCGAAGATCCAGAAAGTGAGACTCATCCGTAACAACCAGAGGGAAGGTACGACTTTCACAGACTGTAACAAACTTTGCAACAGAATCACAACTGTTTTCTTGCGCCAGTTGTTGACTAACTTGGAATCTCCTGTGAAAAACATTTGTCACTACTTTTTGTTGAAAACTGCATTGCTTGATGTGATGCATATCTATCAATGTGAAAAGTTCTGCTTTTGACTTATAACATACTTGAGTGAGAATAATTTATTAATTCTCCATCACTTGAGAAGTTCAAAGTAGTTTTCTCAGAAATTTCAAAAACATATAAAAATATTTACAAATATATCTTGCTGTATTACACATTATGGTACTCAACTTTTTACATATCAATTTTAACTATTTTTCTAATGTTTATACATAGAAACAAACTATATTTTTCGTTAAGTGTAGTAGCAAAATTAAAATTACTTAGAAGCTGAATAAGTTACAGTGCCCATCTGAAAAAAAATAATGCTTCATGTTTTTTTTCCACTTGGGACAAATATGTTAGATTCTTAGGTGTTTAATTTATTACTATCGGTTTGCCTAACAATAACATTAAATAATATCACACCTAGAGTTTGGGACTTTATTTTCAAAAGCATAAGAAAATTAACTTAACCTCAAAAACAATAAGTATACTTTGGTTAAAACTAAATATGTTTCCTTTTATGAAACATGAAAATAAAATTAATAGCAGCCCTTGTAATGTTTTTGGAAAAATACCTTTTTAAAAATTTTCAGTACAAAATTGAATGAGAATTACTGAAAAACTGTCGTCACCTCTCCATTGAAATGAGCTTTGAAACTTAAATGTATCAGAAATATTCACAGTTAAATGACATTAATATTCACAGGTAAAATAACTAGTATCGCTTTATAATTAGAAATAATATTTACACTAATTAGTCAAAGGATTGTCTAATCAGTTACAGTGAGATAATTAGTTTCCTTTGATCACTATGTACCATTTGTTAACAGTCAGTTACATTAGTTGCGACCACAATGTAATTGATTAAACTGATTAACTATTCTATCAGTTTGTGTAGTTTCAATTGATCTATTTTCCTTGCTATCCCGAATGCTATTCCCTATATTCCCACAGGACTCATGAGGTCCCGGGTGAAGGGAGCGGAGGCAGCAACAGCTGAAGTCCTCACATTCCTGGACTCCCATGTAGAATGCAACAAGGAGTGGCTGGAACCCCTCCTGGAGAGGGTAGCTGAGGTGGGTTATTCAAAAGTATATGCCAGTGGCATTTTCTATAGTACTGACTCAAATGCAACTGCAAGGAATCTTCCTTGTAAATTTTAGTGAATGATGAAAGAAGACATGCACGAGAATACATATTGTAGATATTACATACAGATTTCCAAAACAATGTACAATTTAATTTTTAAAGGAGAGAAAACATTATAATTTTTGCAAATCATTAGAAGTAAATTCATCACAATACTTTATACTTTTCAATGAAATGAAATGGTGACCATACAAAATAGGTATTTTAAGCCAAGTATGAATGGAGATGAGTGTAGAATGAGTGAATATTGTGGGCTACGAAGTAATATAATAATGTAATGTAATATAGTAATGTAATATAACTGTAGCTGACACTGGCCTTGTTCCAGTTAGCCATCTTCAAAGACGTAACAGAGCACAACTTCTAAAATATCTTAATATCCCTATGATGTAACTATCTATATACTCTTGTGCCATCTAGGACCCAACAAGAGTGGTCAGTCCGATCATCGACGTGATATCAATGGACACATTCCACTACATTGGAGCTTCCCCAGACCTCAGAGGCGGGTTCGACTGGAACTTGGTGTTCAAGTGGGAATACCTAACTGCTGAACAACGCAAGAAGAGGGCAAAAGATCCTTCAATGCCTATCAGGTATGTGGTGTTTGAAAAATTCAAAAAATTACTCATCAATAAATAAAAAGTGTATCAACCCCAAAGAATTAATAGTGTATAGGTACAGCTATAGTGCTATAGTATATAGTAGATAGAGCTATAGTAGATGTGGTCCTTGACTGGTAATCATAAGGTTAATAGTAGGAAAAGTCAGTAACTTTTTGTGGTTAAAAACTAGACACAGAAGCTTCATTTTTGGGTTTTTAAGAAATGTCTTAACACCATATGATCCTAATCAGGATCAAAACTATCTTCTAGTTGTTGCAATACTCATCCTTTACTCATCATTCCATTAAAATAAACAAATTTTCAGATTTTAAAATTTTGATTTTTAAAAGTTATCTACAGATTTTTAGTTTAGAGCGTTTGTGATAGTTAGTAGTGAACAATTATACAGCAACCTACAAAAGCCCCTAATATTCTTTTACCCTTCTAACTGTCCAAAGTTTGCCATAATTTATAGAGTGTGGACGTCAACTAGCCAAGGATTAAAATGCAAATTATTATCCATATCATTATTATTTGTGATGGGTACGCCACTTATGTGCGTATTTTAACCCACATATTAGTGAGGGATGAGTGTAGAATGGTGTGAGATGATCTGTGTAGCTTTGTTACTGACTGCCCATAGATCAAAGACAACTGGGTCCAGTATCGAACCATAAAAAAGTTACACATTTTTCTCAGGATCAAACAAGCAACTTAATGTTTACTTGGTGAACACTTTAATCACTGAACTACCCAGCTATTTCCAATCAGCTGGAAATAATTGGTGGGAAAAAATGTCTTTAATAGGACTTTCTGATAAACTTACCATGTTTGCATATTTTGGTTTTTATTTCAAAATGTTCTCCAAAATCAATATTTCCATTTACACTGAGTATACTTAAGGGGACAACTTATTTGAGGTAAAAAATGAACGCATTTATGTAATTCAATTCTTAGCATATACTATTATGTTTGCATGTGCTCGAAACTAATATTTTTGTAAAAAAAGTGTTATTGCATTGGTAAGTACAAGTCTGACGCATATACCGTTCTCAACGAAAATGTCAATAAAGATTATTCTATTGTCTATTGCGATAGATTGTACCTTGAGGCATATTTTCAATTAAATTTTTGTTGTAGAACACCAATGATCGCTGGTGGACTGTTCACCATCAACAAACACTACTTTGAGAAGTTGGGAAAATACGACATGAAGATGGACGTCTGGGGAGGAGAAAACTTGGGTAAACTGACTAAATTTATTCAATCTTTTAAGTGGTGAACTAACTTTTTATGTAAAACTCTAGTTTTACATTTTAACTCTAAATCGTGGCTGGATTATCTCATCTGCGGCAATAGGTAGAATTTAAAATCGTGTATCAAGTTATAGAAATTAATTTATTGCTCAAAATTAAACTTGTGAATAGAATTTATTTCCTTTACTAAAAGGAATGCAAAAGATTCTCTTTGAGGCCTCTAAATATTTATTTCTAATGACTATAAAAACCTAGTTTCATATCAGGAAGGAAATAGAATCACTTGGTTTTTTATATTTCAGTTAGTGTTCTATTATTATTTTTGTGTTATGCTTTACATGCCTATAGGCTTAACAGCACAGGTAAAAACACGTAAAAATACAGTGTAGTGTCATACAGCTCAATCTTGGTCTATAAAAAATTTTGTTTTTAATTTTTCAATACAAATGAATAGTCCAGTTTTCAATAACAAATAAGAGGCTAATGCATTGTTTTAAACAGCAATACATGATTATTTTATGGATATTTCAGTGTATTTAATTAGGGCAAGACAAAAATTCAGTCACTATCTGTATTGTGCAAGGGCAGGACTGTGAAAAGGCTTTGTGACCAACAATGGGTTGAGAAGTTGAAGTTGGGAATGGTTTTATTGACCCCCCTCCCTTCCTCACTTCAGCAAAGTTATAGTGGTAATTCAAGTACAGTGACTTTAGAAGGAAAAGTAATTAATATATACAATTGGCACTGAACCAATGCAAAGCCGGGTCTAGAAAAAAGTTTTTCAACTCTAATTTGTCAATCTTATATTCAGTGATTAAAATGTACAAACGTTGGGTTTTAGGGCTCTTTGTCTAGTACTTTTTAAATTAAAACTTATAATTAGATTTGATTTATTTTAAGATTTCAATTTCAATATTCTAATGAAAAGAATGTTTATTCTATTTCTTTATATAGTTTTAAAATTTATCGTACCCTTTGAAGCATACTAATGCACATCTAAATACATATTACTTTCTGAGAGGTTTCGTATGGAGATTTTCCTTTACTAAGCATTCCCAACAAATTAAAATTTAAAATTAAATTTTACAATCAAGGATCTCTTATTTATTTCCATTTCTATCAATCTCCTTTTGCAGTCTTCTCAGTACAACTCATTCTATCTTATATGTTCTACCTAATAGTTGCTCACTGATTTAACAAAGTTCTCAATCCTGTCAAGTTTTCTTATACGACACATTAATGCTCAATATATTTAGCATTGATAGGCTGCTTTCTTTTTTTATCTTCCTGAAAAAATAAACTTAAGTTCTTGAAGTTATATTTAATGCAATATCTACAGAGCCATTTGTTGTAAATAGTACTACTCCCTTAATTTTGTTTAGCCTACCAATTTTAAAGTGAATGTGTTAAAAAAATTGCTTAGGTTGTTGTTTTGTAAGAAGGCTTTACATTTTTATATACTTCTCCTAAAGAGTTAAAAATTAAGAAAATTTGGCCAACAAGCTCCACTGTATATGTACTTACAAATTCAGGTATTGTCTGCAATTGGTATTGACTGAAGAAGGAAAATGCTAGTGGAGCCATAAAACTCACTGCCAATATTGAATAACAAATATAATTAGATTGTAGAAATAATTTAATAATATGACAAAAAATACTTATGGCCTGAAATCTTTTGAGCACTGGATGCCGATGCCCTCCCCTGCTCCCCCCTTCCTTTTTACAGGTACAGCAGTCTCCTACAGTCTCCTACTCTTTTTACAGGTACAGGTGCGAGTCTCCTAGTGTATAAACAGATTTTCATTTAAAAGAGGCCAAAATATTTATAAGAAAATGAATTAAAATTAGATTTATTTATTTAAAATGTAAAACCAAACTCTGACACACGGAAATCATGTTTTGCAGGAAATAAGTTTCATATCTGGTAAATTTTATAAAACATTGTGCTTATTTTCCTCCCCGTCCATAATTTATAACTATTTGAAAAATAGCAGTTGGCCTTATGCCATCTGGTCTTTTTACCCCATAAATATCAGTTAGTCTACGAAACAGGTCCCTAAACAATAGCTTTGTAGATAATATTTTAGCTCACAAACCGCATTATTTTACTGCAATATTTTTAAAGTTATAAGCTGAGATGATTAAATTATTTTACACTTTTATCCAATTTAAAAACGTACTTCTGGTTCTGGAGTCCTGTTATTCATTCCAGTTAAATAATATTATGACAATTAGTTATCATTTAATACAAAATAATTTTAACAATTTAATTTTAAATGTTTATTGTGTATTTATTATCTATCTACCTTTGACAATGTTGTAATTGATCACGATTTTGGATGCATTTATGAAAATAATATAATCTACGGTATTTTGTAAAATTGAACAAAGAAAATAATCCTAACTTAGGATTTGTTAATGTAAATAAATAATAAATTATACTTTGACATGGCAGATAACCACGGATAAACTCATTACTCAAAATGTTCCCATCAAATGACTTGTTAAGAGGTTTTAGTTTATCCCAAGCATCCAATTATGTCTTTATAAGGTGTTGGCAACGTTTATAGTTTATTGTCTTAGTAAAATTTTATAGTTGTTATTAGTTATTACCTTCAAAACCTATGTTTTGCTTTTCAATGTCCCTTTAGATTATTTTGAATATTTTGTTAACATAATAGTCAGTTGAAAAGAAAAACGTCAAGGATGTTAGAGCCATGCTAAAAAATATCAGTGTAACTTATTGAGAACTAATTAATTATTAATAATTGAATTGTGTAAGATACATACTTTCTTTACATGTAGATCAATTTTATATCTCTTCAATGTTCATTCATAATACGCTTAATAAAACAATATTCATTCAGAACTACTAAAAGAGTAGTTGTGAATCCCAATCATAAACTGTCTTGCCCTACCCTTTGCTTTGCTTTACAAATTCCATATGCTGTTTTGAGACAGTGATGATATTTTTTCCTTGTTTTCATTAGAAAACCTTTGTTTCATTTTATGACTGTGTGTGATTTGCCTTGGACTCTTTTTGACTTTTCAACTTTTGGTAGGTTTGTAAACTTGTAATATCTCACCATAGAAGGCGGTCAGATTCCAGAACCGAAAATATTGTTAACAATATGAGACTCCCAATCAACCAGAGACAGAATTCCATAACGTATTCCATTGGTTCAAGGTATATTCAAAAAACGGTCCAACAGAATATTTGAAACACTTTACGTAAGTTAATTTCTCCATCTATTACAGAGATATCATTCCGTGTGTGGCAATGTGGGGGTAGTCTTGAGATCATCCCCTGCAGTAGGGTAGGCCATGTTTTCCGCAAGCGACACCCCTACACATTTCCCGGTGGTAGTGGCAATGTGTTCGCTCGGAATACTCGTAGAGCTGCCGAGGTGTGGATGGACGACTACAAGAAGTACTACTACGCTGCCGTTCCTCTGGCCAAGAGCATACCATTTGGAGAGTGAGTGTGATTTTTACTTTCTCCCCCTATACAATGTATTGAGAAAGTTTTGTTTTTTTCAAAATTTTCTATTTTGAGTTTTGAGTGGAAATATAATTTTTGGGGACATATGTTTATTAATGTATTTTAATATTGCCTCACATTGTGTTGCAATTGAACAATTTTGTAATTGAAATAAACTAAACAAAGGGGTTTAGGATAGCTTTTCTAAAAATTACATCAAGTTTCTAGGTAGGTGCGCAGCTGCTCTTGTGATTATAGCATAATGCTTCTGTTCTGAAACACAGGATTGTGCCCACCTTAGTGGCTTTTTGCTAAGTTCAAAGCTGCAAGCTGGTGGTTTGGGACTACTTTTAATCTGTATGTCCACTTATCTCCATAGAAAATAAAGTCTTTTCAGGTGAAGAAGACATTCCCACTATGTTTTTACCATTGTCTATTCCAAGCCAAAAGGTTTTACTTTATTATAACTTTCTCTAAAGATACTCTATTGGTTCCCTTCCCAATTCTCTTTCAAACGAATTGAACACCAGAATATTTAAACAAATAAGCCTGTCTGTTTCTACAGTATCAGCGACCGACTAGAGATGCGAGAGCGGCTGCAATGTAAACCGTTCAAATGGTATCTGCAACACGTCTACCCGGAGCTGAAGGTTCCCTCTATGGCAGACATGGCTGTAGGGTCGCTGCAACAGGGGCCGTGGTGTCTGGACACTATGGGACACGTGGCGCTCGGTACTGTTGGTGTCTATCCTTGCCATGGCACTGGTGGTAACCAAGAGTGGACACTGACAGCTGGCGGACTGTTGCGACACAGCGAGATGTGTCTGACACTCACAGACACTAATCCAGGCTCCACCGTAGTCATGAAGCCCTGCAACAACGGCATTGAACAGGTTAGCGTTGATTTAGTTGCTAAAGTAAATAGATTAGAGTTTATTTAAAAGTTTGTTTAAAGTTAGTTGGTTGTGAATGTTGTGACGTATTTTCAATCTAAAGTGGTTAAAAAAATTTAAGTTATGTTAAACTAAACAAAATTATGTCCTTTTTTTATGTTTACACTGTTATTACTTACGACTTTACTGTTGGCAGACGTGGGTGTCCAAGAACGGTCTAATGAAGCACGCGAGACTCACGCTGTGTCTAGACTCAGCCAACAGTCGGACGGTAGGACTGACTGTGGAGAGGTGCAACTCAAGTTCGGCCACTCAGCAGTGGCAATACGTGCTCACTACACTGTGATAAGAGAGATAGTGATAACAGGCAGGCAACATTGGTACACCCGTATTGGTACACCTGGGGTTGTTGCATTGATACACCCACAGGTGCTGCTACGTTTTTACACCCCTGGGTATTGTATGGCAACTAAGGGTAGGGGCGTAAGGACAACCATACTGAACACAAGAGTTACTGCGATGAGGAAAAGCTGAGATGAGAGAAAAAGTGTTTGGGACCATTTGTCAAGCAGTATGCTGTAGAGGAGGTTAGGATGGTGGGGTAAAAGTATGCTACTTAGGCCCGGTTTCCCCAAAATGGTGTAAACTAGGTTTATAATAAACTAGTTTATTTTTAAACTCCGTTTAAAATGTGTGTTCGGTTTCTCCAACATTTTACTGGCTTCGTTTAAGATAAACGGCAATTTGAGCGGTTTGCAATCCTGAATGTGTATTTGTAAGGAATCTTCGGTGGGCTTTGGGCTAGTGTTTCCTACAACCACCACAACGCTACGCTACAAGCTACAACTCAGTAGAGCAGACAGCAAAGAGCGATCACTGTTTAAGGTTATGTTATCAAGTTATTATAAGTTGTTATCAAATTCAGATTCATTCAATTTATTGAAATGACCAATTCTGTCCCTTATTTTAGTAGGCCCTCTTGTTTTAGGTCCTAAAGTGTCATACTCTTCATCTTCTACTTCTTCGAAAATGTCTATTAACTCTTCCATTTAAGTTAAGGGGCAAACACTGCAATTAATAGTACAGTAGCCTAATTTGAAATAAAATCAAATGTACCAAACAAAGATCTTAATAAACACAATAAATTAAAATATAAATAAAACTTAACTTATAAGCTAGCCCTAAACCAAGCCTATGTTCGTCGAATTGAATTTGTAGTTGCTTCAATTATTATTGTTTTAACACCTACTTTTGTTTTGATTTGAGGTTATGTTACTGTTGTAATTTACTGATTTGAACTCAGTTTATTTTATCCCCAGTAGTTAAACCAAGTCGACAGGTGGTTTAGTTTGAACTTAGATTAATACCTAGTTTAAATTTGGGGAAACACAAATCAAAGTTAAACTAAGTTTAAATCGCCGTTTAACTTAAAACTAAGTTTAAATGAGTTGGGGAAACCGGGCCTAAGACGTAGTAATTTTAAGAGTTTTCAGGAAATGTTATTGATAAGTGTTAAAAACATCGTTTATCATTAAAAAATTAAATAATTTCATCTTGACAACGTACATTGTGGTGAGTAATATTTACTTATTGTTAATACAAATTATATAAAGCGTACTTTTTATGTTTTGCTAGTAAACTTTTTTTTGGGGGTTCGAACATTTGGGCGTCATACAAATTAATTTTCAAATTATTAAATCATTGATTACTCTTTGACAAATGTATTAAAATATGAGTTTTGATACATTTAAAATAATTTGTAAACTAAAATATGTTAAAACCCAATCAATAATGTTAGTGAATATCTGAGATTATTGAACTTATCAAGATTTTGTAAGACATGTTTGAGAGACGAATGTTGCCTGCCTTACGTTTGAAGGAACACCAATCGGGACGCTAGTCAGTAGTGACGTAGTTACCTAAGTTACGAGCTGGCAGTCATGACTAAAACTCTAGGTTTAATATGTTGAAACGTGGAACTGTTAAACGAGAATATGTTCCTAGTGCATTAAAGTTGTATAGCTTTTGGGTAAGTACATTCGAAATTGTGGTTTTAACAAAGGTGTTTATTAGTTATTTTTTCATGTTTGTTATACAGTTAGCTGATTTTATTAAGTGTATGTTTTTATTAGTTCTGCCAGCTCAAAATCTACCAGAACGATCCTACATCACATTTTGATGCTTGTCGTACAGCTTTTCTCTATTTATTTCATGTTTTACATTCCGGTGTGTTTTGTCCTTTAGCCTATTGGCCCAACTACATATTGTGTTCCTTATTTTTTACTGTCTTCCAGTTTCCCTTCCATATTTATCTTTTCCTTGTTCACTTAATCAACTTTGTATCTTTTTATATTTCGATCTATTTTTGTATTACCTTTGTAGCTTTCTGATTAAGTACATTCAGCTTGATCATAATATTATATTGACAATAAACCTAACTTTTAGTAGAGTAACATTTACTTAATGATATTATTTTTATATAGCATAAGAGAACTATACAAATTTTATTTTTATGATAGGTTGGCTTTTCTTGTAGCTTTGAGTCTTAGGAATTGTTTACTGTATGTTTGTTTATTGTGAAGTTGATAAATCTTTTTCTTGTCTTCAAAGCCGAGTGATATGTGTAAATAGTAGAGTTTGTACGTTAAAATATTCTTGTGTTTTTTATATGTACAGTGTACATTGCTGTTGTATAGGAATGTTGTTATAGTTAGAAAGGTGCTGTTTTTACAGTGTATAGGCTAATTTTTATATTGTATGTAAATATTTTAAAAATTGTTTAAATCTTTAAAAATTATATTTAGAAAATAAATTCTCTATGTAATTGTTTTAACACAATTTTAATTGTATTTCAGCAACATTTTGTCCTAAATATTTCATCTTTATACAATATTGGTTCACTTTCAGGTATGAAAACAAAAGCTTTTTAACTTTTAGGCAAAAAATATTAAAGCTGATTTTTGTAAACAGTATATTAGATGTAATGACCAAAGGAAATATTTGTAAGTTTTTCACTATATCCTATCAGTTACTAGCGTTTTTACACTTTTTCTTACTAATAAGTTATTATTTGTTAAATAAATATAAATTTTAAAATTCCAGTGTCAAGTGCAGGGGAGTTAAAGCATCCCTTGAACTTGTGTGGAATGTCAAAACCCTCTTGGCTAACCTTGTTTTAAGAATGATATAGGCTAGATGAAGAATTAGAAATATTTAATATAAATTTATACTCAATGGTTGTCCAATTCTTTGCTTTACATTTTGTAATCAAGGAACTGAAAATTGTTACAATAGTTGATTAAAGTAAAAAAGTCTCTTGACCTGTTTAAAGAGATATTTTTTATGAATAAAAACAATATCAGACGTAAAATATTTATAATTTAGGTTAAGTTAAATAATGATTAATTTTGTGCTCAAATAGGAACAATTATCCTTATTCAGTATTTAACAGCACAAATTGTAAATATATAATTATCTAGCTTTATAGTCTTAATTGTTTGCCAGTCGAGAATCGTCTGTCCTAATGGCAATTTTGATTGAAAATATTGTTTTTAATTAAATAAATTGTCGATTTTTTAAGTAACCTTCAACCTACTTATTTAACCTGTTAAAATACTGGAGAAAACTGCTAAGTCTTAAGGATTAAAATCCAATGATAAGTGTGAATCACATTAAAATCTTTATTTATTGTTCGTATTATTTGTTTGAAAATGTTGTCACTTACATATTAAGGTTTACTAATTAATTAGTTCCGGTATATACTGAGTATTAATATTTAATATCGGATCTTCTGTAGGAATTCAATATAATCATTCATTAACATTATTTTGAAAAAATAACTTCAGTCTGTGGGTTTTCCTCATGGTCATGAAACTTAAAGTTAACTTTATTTGACTTGGAGGAATCTGGTCTGGGCATTCACTCAAAACTTGAGCAACAAAGCGAGGGCAAGAACTTGCCATTGATCAAATTTACATAACAATTTATATGCCTTTGCCTCTTAGGAGATTTTCAACTCTGTTGCATCGATAGCTTTCATTCCAAGTTGTTGTCTTATACTGATAACTTCCTTTGTTGTTGAATATTCAATAATTTAAATCATGAATATTTGTTTAGGTTGTGTTTTTTTTTTCGCTAATTATAATTTACATTTTTGGAATTTACTTTATCTAGTTTTTCAAGGTTTTTCTTACTATAGCACAAAAATGTTTCAGATTGCTAAAGCTCATCCTATAATGGAGATTGTACCTGTTATGTAAAATTACACATAGGCTGAAAAATCTTCGATTCCATGAAGTAAAATACCCCCGCCGCAGCAAACCTGCAGACTAAGCGAATTTCCATATGTCTGATTGGATTTACACTAAAATGTCTACTTAAAAATTTAACATTTATTTCCTATTTAAATAGAATTATTTTAACAGGTACTTAGGTTTGCTGCATCAGGGAGGGTAAAACTTTTTTTGTAAAATGTTGATAGTTATTAAGAAATAAAAACATTTTCCAAATTTGATCAAAATATGTTCATAAACAAGCAAACTACAACAGTTTACTCATTCTCCATAAGAATAACATGGGAATTTAAAATTTACATTTTTTTGGAATTTTCTCCGTAACCATTAGGCGCATAGTAACACTTCAATATACTAAATTATTTGTTTTTTTAAGCTCTACAAAATGGTTTGAAAAGATTTTGCAAAATTTTATTTTTTTTGGGTCAAAAATGGGAAAACCCTATTTTTACCCCATAAAACCCCCCGTAAACCCCCCGTAAACCCCCGTTCCCATAGTCCGATCATGCTGGTTCGCGAACTCGTTCGAGTTTATCCCGCCTTACACCTTCAAACCAAATTTTATCAAAATCGGACAAAAATTACTCAAGTTATCGTGCGGATGGACACATATATATATATATATATATCTCTATATATAGATATATAAAAATTTGAACGAATGGTGTTTTTGGCCTCTGGGGACATCAAAATGAAAAAGTAAATCGGTCCCGGGCCTAGGTCTTACCATGAGACCTACGGTAATAGCTACTTCCCTATAGGGAAATTCGCTAAAAGAAAGTAAGCATTGTAGTGAAGTTTATAATTACAAAGGAGGTTATATAATAATGGAGCCTCTTAAGTTATTCTTTATAGTGCCTTGTCAGGTAAAACTATTACAAATTATTCAAACTATCTTTTTTTCCAAAATAAATTCCCTTCACATCCAAATCCCTCGAGCAGCTACAGTGAAAAAAAATTATTACCAACAATAATTATTCACTTTAAATAAATACCCAAAAATTTCCATTACCGAAAAATTAGTTGTTTTTACTCAGTGTTGAAATATTTGAAACACCAAAATAAGCGTCTCACCTTTATACAGGGAAGAGCATGGTTACAGTGAAGAGATAAGCTTCAAGTTGACAGATATTGTACAGTTGAACCTCTATAAGACGAATTTCAAGGGGTACGGAAAAAATTCGTACTATAGAGGTATTCTTAATAAAGAGGGTCGTTTTATCGAGGTTTAATGCTGCTGTTATTCTTCTTATAGAGGTTTCTCTTTGCTCCAAGGTTTCTCCAAACAATGACTGAGGAAGGAGGAGGGATGGGTGGGGGTTTCATGTTGAGACAAGCTTCTGTTTGTTTTGAAAACTACGTACTACGGAGGTTAAGATTATGATAAATTCGTCTTATAGAGGTCACGTTCGTCTTGTAGAGGTTTTGTGCTAAGAATATTCGTTGTATAGAGGTTAATCAGTCCTAGCCCATGTCACAAACAAATTCGTCTTATGGAGGTTTTTAACTTAATTACTACGTTGTATAGAGGTGTTTTTAGCATTGACCTATATGAAAGTGTCAAGGGGATTTAAAAAAATTCGTCTTATCGAGGAATTCGTTTTATCGAGGTTCGTACAAACGAGGTTCAACTGTATTTGCATAGCAATGAGGCGGTAAACGAGGATCACGCATCACACACTCTCATTGGTTATTGGATTTGTGTTTCTGATCAGTTTTAGCATTTCCCTCTCCAGCTCTGGTGATGTGAAATCCTACGAATTATAATCAATTGTTTGTATGATTTGTATTTTGTGAAAACTCAAACTTTGGGGAAGAGTGTCGGATACATCACTGTGAAAACTCCGAGAGTTGAATGAATACAGTTTCCAAAAACATTGGCTACAGAATTCAGTTGTGCTTATAAATACAGAGAAAGACAGAACAATACATTTTTCTACAGTAAAAAATACATTTGTGTTTTAATTAGCACAAAGATTCAACAAATAGGAACTAGCAGACATAGTCCGCTACATGTGTGTCCGCTAAGTTCCTGTCTTATAGAAAGGAAGTATTTTTTTATGGAGGAGCAAATTTTAAAACTGTGTATATTAAGGAGGGAAATTGGAAGTTGCATTTAATCAAGGGATGATAAGTAAATAAGCCTGTCCTTGTGGATTTGTCAAATTAATCACAAACAATTAATTATAAACAGTTCTTTGTGCTGAGGTAAAATTCAAACTTTAGAAACAATTATTCAGTTAAAGTTATAACTAAGGCATCAACCTCAAAATAAATTACATATTTATTTACATCCATGACACTTTGTATTTGATTTTTTGGGTTTTTGTCCCTAAGGCTGAGTTTTAGTGCAACACACTAAAGGTATATAGAGAGGAATATATTTTATGTTTTGTCCATTACGCCCCATTTCACACTATACAGTTTCCCTGTCTGGTTAGAAGTACAAGCATACAACCGTGTCTATGTTTCTTTCACATGATCTGTAGAGATGAATTTGTTTACAATCCCACAATAAACATATACAATACAATACCTGAAGAACTGAGTGGGGTCTATCTTGGCCTTTATTGAAAAAAACCACTTCCAAATATCTGCATTCTTAAAACAATGTTCCTGGAGGCCTTACTTTTAATCTTGGTGAAAAAACTGAAAAAAGGAGGCTAGTTGGAGGTTTCACCAAGATCGGATTAATGAAGCCTAAAAAATTGAATTTGTTTATCCCAAATTAATTATTGTTACAGGATGTCTCAGATCTGAGCGAACCTGCGATGTTATTATTGTTTTCTTATTAATATTTTGTTAAAACTTCTGTGAATAGTGTCCTCATTTTACCAGAAATAAATAACATAAACAGTGTACAATTGACAAGCAGATTGTAAACTATAAACAGTGCAACATCTGGTTTATTTGCACTAGCTGGTGGGCTACCATTTGGCAATTAAGCCGTGCAGAGTAAAAAGCTCGCATTTAACTACATGTGCCACTGATGCATGGTCACATGACAACCGTGGTTAAGTGCAGTGGCATTGGACGACTGCAAGAGACACGGTTTTCTGTGGTCGTAATCGTGGAGTTTAAAACCTCTCAAGCAACATAACTAAAAAATTTACCTGTACAGATTTTAACTGTACCAAAAAAACTGTATAGTGTAAAAGGAGAGGTTGTTAAAGAGCTGAGTAAATTTGCAGCAGAGTTTTAAATGAAATATTTCTAAATCATGTTGGCACCATTTTTTTGCAGGTTTTTGTCGCTCTTTGGATGCAAATTTCTGTTAAAAAATGTACTGTTAACTCTTTTGTAAATGTTGGTGTACTATCACCCACAAAACTTAAATTATGGTTAACATATAAAATACATTAATATTTGGCGTTGCAAACACTGGTTTTATTTAAAGAACAAAATATTAAAATCTGCAGATTTAGTGATTACATTTTATATTTATGCATTGGTCCTTTTTAAGTATTCAGCCATTATAGAAAAATCATCACTAAGGTCATGTTTACTATACAGATCATAGTAAAACAGCTTATTAAGTCTAATAGCACAAGTTATATTCCAATGTGTATACTTAGCATTTGCAGGAATCAGAGCTTAGCCTCTCTACGATTGTATTGATTTTGGCAACAAACCTAACCTCCCCAACAATCTCAGCATTCCTCTATACCAACAGTCAATTTTTTGTGAAATTTAAACATATCTTCAGAATCAAACAGTTTTTATTGCATACGAGCATGTAAGGAATAATAATTCAAGATTAATTTTACCAGCTTTTATTGAATAAAATTACGAAATTGAATGGCATTGGTTTGTACATTGGTCTTATATGAATGCATTATTAGCATTCTTAGGTTTTTTTTAACTGTTAATCAGTGAATAAGTTAGATATTGCCACATATTTTTGTAAGGGTCCTAGTAACTTACTTTTAAGTTAATTAAATGCCATTTTCCAAGATACAGTCCTACTTTATTTGTATGATGTTATAAAATCTTTTTTGTTACTACGCAAACAGAGATATTTTAAAATAACATGAATAAATAATTTTACTCTTTTTACAAAATGTATGCTAGATCTTTCATCAAATAATTTGTATAATTGGCTAATATTGAAAATAAATTTTACAAAATCCGTAGTAACATACTAGATAATCTATACTATTATATAAAAATCTAATGGTGTCTGTCTGTATGTGTATTACTAATAGGTGCAAAAACTACTGAACCAACTGGGCTTAAATTTTACAAAAATATAGCTACCATACCAAGGACCATTATAGGACTATTCACACTTCGATACTGACCGTGAGCTTTGCCCCTTTGGCTTTAAAGTTTCTG